ATCTACATTTTAAAAGCAGCAAGAGATTCATATGCACATTAATGTTCAAGTAGTGTCCTACCTGGTATTTCCACATCAACCATTAACTTTCACAAATTTACTATCCATACCTCATCTATCTTCCAAAAAAAATAAAATCCAAACATTTCATTTCCCCACTTAAGACTGATAAATGATTTCCTAAATGTCCTTGGAACAAAATCCAAAATTCTTTTAAGATGTAAATAACCAGCTTGGGCATGGTGGCACGTGCTTGTAATTCCAGTAACTCTGGAGGCTGAGTAAGGAGGACCACAGTTTAAGACCAATTTGGGCAAGGTAGGGAGATCCTGTATTAAATTAAAAAATAAAATAAAAAGTGCTGGGGATATAGCTCAATGGCAGAATGCCCTGGGGTTCTATCCCCAGTACCCCCCCCACACACACACACACACAAAATACAAGTAACCAACTGTGCATATTATCACCCATGCTTGCCTCTGCAGCCTCATCTCACCACTTCCTCCAGCCATTGATTTTTATACGGCAAGCACCCAAACCTCTTTCTGCTCATCAAATCCCAACATCTCCTTTCTTTCCTTACTTCTTCCACAGCTAGAACATACCAGCACTCACCACCATTATCACTTCCCTGTTAGCTACATTCATTGATCTATCACCAGCACATACGGTGGTATCTGGCAGAGCCAGAAGCAAGAAGAATGTGCTGGATACAAGCACATTTAGGATGCAGAGGGCCTCTGCTGTTTCCTTTGCCCATCTGCTCTTTGTTTCTGCCATGATCCTCATTGTTGTTCCTCCTCTGTCCCTTGTCCTTTCCATCACCTTTTGCTRTGATTTGGATCTGGCATGTCCCCMAAAAGCTCGTGGGTTGAAAGCTTGATCCCCACTGCAACAATTCCAAGAAGTGGTGCTTGAGGAAGTAATTGGATCACAAGGGCACTGACCTCATGGGTGGATTAACCCATTGATAGCTGAATGAACTATGGAAAGTAATGGAAACTATAGGCAGGTGGGGCATAGTTGGAGGAAGTAGGTTACTGGGAATGTACCATTAGGGACTATATCTTGTCGCTGGCCCCTTGTTCACTGACTCTCTCTCTCTCTCTCTCTCTCCCTCTCCAGTTCCTGGTTATCATGAGCTAAGCAGCTTTCCTCTGCCACACCCTTCCACCATGATGTTCTGCCTTACCTCAGGCCCAAAGTAACAGAATCAGCCAACCATTCACTGGGATCTCTGAAACCAGGAACCAAAATAAATCTTTCATTCTTTAATTTGTTTATGTTGGGTATTTTGGTCACAGCAATGAAAAGCCATCTAACACACCCCTTTACAGAAACTCACCTCTTATCTACAACCTCATAGCTACTGAAGTTGTCAGCTTCAGAAAGAAGCACGACCGCGTCCATATGAGTATATCCCCTAAATTATTCACCAGCAGGGTGACAACTGTTTCCCTTCATCCTGAGGATCCAAGTCCTTCCTACAGGTAGAGAGAATATCTCACTGACAGAAGTAGGCTTCTTTTCAACCCAAGATTCAATATCTTTCAACATCAGGGACCTCTCAACAGACAGAATCTAGCCGAAAACTTCACAATCACCCTGCCCACAAAGGAAAACATCACTATGCTAACAAGATGGATTAGCAAGAGTTGTGACAAACTTCATATATTAAATGTGATGACTAAACTTGCTACTAAGAAAACAAATGGCAAATTATTCTATAAAATAGATATCTGGCTTAAATTTTAATCTCGAGTAAATACAAATTTTCATATACAAAATGACATTAATAATGAAAAACAAGAGCTATTATTTATCTATTTACTGAAATCTATTGCAAGTCCAACAACATGCTCAAAGTTCAAATGCTTTCTTCTTTACCATCATTCCATGAGGCGTGAATGGTTATTATCCCCATTTCACAGAGAGGAARCCAAGCCTAAAATAAGTCTAAGAGAAAGCTAAGATCTAAAATCACAAGCCTCCACATGACCAACCCCTAGTGCTTTTCTGTTATGTTTTGCTATTTAGAGAGCTTTTTCATCTAAGAAGTCAGAGACATGGACATGTCCAGAAAGACAGACCCTTGGAGGGGGACCTCAAAGGCTGAGATTGTCTTCAGCAATGTAGACGTTGAAAGGAAAGTAACCTCCTACATCTTATATTTCAAAGCTGCATTTCTACATTAAAAGAGAAAACTGAAATTCAAGGAAAAGATGTGGGAAGAGAGTTCAAGGGTGCTTATGAATACAATTCCACAAATACGTTTTCAGTATCTTCTAGTGGTCAGGCAGTGTGCTGGAAGCTGAGTTATCATTGTCACTTAGTAGAATGCTGGGTGACACRGCTTGATGGGGAGAATTCTTGCATAGAGAATCTTTCAGGAATGTTTAGTCAACAATTTACACAACTGTTATGTTATTATCTAATTATGCAGAAATCATCATTCATAAAGGAAAAGTGAGAGTTACTAGCTTATTATCTGTGAATACATAATTGAAGGGCATATGTATCTTTTAAAATCAAAGTTTTGTATGATTCAAATACCTCTTGTACATTTCTGATACCTTATATCAGAGGGTTAGATTTTAATATCTGTGAATGCAAATACAGTATCAGATTGTGTTATCAAGTATCTGAAAGAACAAAATGGAAAAATATRGACAGCCAATACAAGGCTAATTCCCAAAACAGAAATGGAACATATTGAAGCTGCATGTACATACAATTAAAGATAAGGATATAAAAACATGTCCTAAAGCAGTCCACCAAATATTTACAGAATGAGGCTCAGACAAGGATATCAAGTAGAAGACAGTATGACCCTGGAAAGGTCACACACCATTCTGTGAAGCCTCCAGAAACCTGCCTCCTTTGAAACAGGATGCTTTTGACACAAGAGCATGAGAGGAAGACTGTATATCACTCCCCTAATTTATAAAATGAAAGAGATAGATGATTTATAAGTTCCTTTCAGCTCTAACCCAGTAAATAGTTTTCACCTCTGTGGCCCTTACACCTCAAGAGACATGAGTATATAAAGATGCTCAAAAGACATTTGTTGAGTTAATGAATTATTACAACCTTACCAATACTAAGAAAAGGGACTTTACAAAATTGGCCCAGTCTGTGGCATAGAAAGAGCAAATTAGTGGGAAAACAATTATCTAAACAACTGCACATGTGATGCTCCTGCTTGCTGACTGCTGTCAAGAGGAAAATAACCCTGGACTTGGAAATAAGATGYGTGGTCTAGTCTCTGAAACAAAGCAACCGTGTGACCTTGGGAAAACTGCATTACCACCTGGGCCAGTTTCCCCATCTCTAAAATAAAGGTATTATGAGGCTATATATAGCTAACTTTCRTGGAACCTTTACTATATGCCAGGAACTGTTCCAAGATCTTTGCCTTAGACTTAAATGATCTCAAAGGTTTTAAAAGCACTAATGTTTAYTGTCTAACTACAGAAGTAAAAAGGTTGGGCTCTCTCTCAGCTCTGAAAGGTGGGATCTTTTTCTAAGCAGAGATTGTGAAGCACAAGTGGCTACAATTCCAGTACTTCTATTCACTGGCTGGGTTAACATTCTGAATGAGTTGCTTAACCTTCCTGACTTTATTTTCTAATCTGTAAAATAGTTCGTTCTTTCTTTCATATAGCTTTTTAAAGGACTGTTATAATAAATGTAATATATATTTAGTAAAATACATATTACTTTTTATTATTAGCTGTGTAACCATGGGCAAACCATCTTCTGCATTTTCTCATATACAAATGGGAGATGCAGTGTTACTAAAAAGAGATCATGTGAACACACTCTGTAAATTATTGTTCGCTGTTTTTGAAAAAAATGCACATTCTCTAATACATGGAACACATTATACAATCCTATATCTCATACGCATAAAAGTATAGATAACCAACAGTAAGAAAAACAAAGAACAAAAATCTTTACTAAACATTTCTCTCTAGTCCCGGCTCAAGCCGACTGGACTCAGACCGTGGCAACCAAGAATGCAGGAACACTTGGGAGTTGTAGTTCTGAACGACAGGGCTGCTACACCGAGCGGCTGAAAAAGACTCCAACTCCCAGGAGACAYCTCGCCAAGCCAAAAGGCACGTAGGGAGGTGAAGTACCAGATAGTTTGGACACAAGAGGCAGGACTCCAATTCCCAGAAGCCTTCGTTGCACACACTTCAGGTCATAACATGGAGCGGAAGAGGAACTTTTAGGCACACCTGGTTTAACCACAGGTGAGAGTTCCCACCGTTCTCTGTAATCTAGTCCCGGCCCAGCTGGGGTAAGAGCCTTTCTTAAAAAAAAAAAAAAAAAAAAAAACGGGTGAGAGGCGATGTATTTCCCACTGGCCCGCAGTACATTTCTGAGAAATCCAGAATAATAATACCAGTTAGCTTGCAAATGGCAAATTTTCACCAACAAGACCTCAATTTAAATTTCGGCTTCAGACAGCATCCTTGGGCCACTTGAGCACTAAGCCCGCCCCCCCAGATTGGCACTGTGAGAGGTAGGTCCAAGGTGACACAGCAGAGGCAGAATCTGAACATACCAGAGGAAGCTGCAAATACAGCTCAAGTTCCACTAAGTTGCGGGAGTCCCTTCYACAGCCCCCCACATATGGATATACCTTTGAAATTCCCATATATTAATCTAAAAATCAAAACCGCAAACATAAAATATAAGTACTGATGAGTTCTCACACAACTAACAATATAACTTTTTTTTGGGGGGGGGGGTCTTTTAAATATCAAATGTGCATTTTTCTCCCCCAAATACTGCCTTCTACATGCCCTGCTTTGCTCCTGTCTGGGCAACTCTTCAGACCTTCTTTGGGGACCCTAGAGTTTAACACAGAACTGTAGGGGCAGGGATTCCTGCTACTTATCTATGACACCGACAAACACTGGATCCAACAGAGAGGCCAGAACAGACTACAGCATAAGTGGCAAAGTAGGTCGGCTGCAGCGACCCCATACCTCAGTTTCCCCACTTATAAAAGGCAGAGGGTGCTGAAGAACTGAGGGGCCTGAGTCCCAAACCCGAGACGTCTCAGTGGGTGGGAGGGTTCTTCGGACAGAGCCTACCGCTTGCGCTAGCCCAGTCCCCGCCCCACTGGGCCGCGGGGGGGTCGTGACTCGACGCACGTGGAAATCCAGAACCGCATCCCAGGTACACTGTTCCACTCAGGCTCGCCCCACGCCCCTACCTTCCAAGGTCTTGGCAGCTGGGAATGAAAGAGGGAAGGAGCGCGGGGCTGGAGCGCTGCCCGAGCGTGTGCCCACTGGGATGGCCTCCAGAGGGACTTGGGGGTCTGAGTGCCAAAACTCTCTGACAGGGACACAGCCAGGCCGGGACTGCAATTCCCAAACGGCCTCACGGTAGGGGCGGGACCCAAGATGGCCGCTCATCTGGAGACAGGTACAGCGACCAATAGGCGCACAGCACGCGCCTACACTGGGCCAATCGGAAGCCATGAGGTAGGAACCCTAATTATTCTTTCAGGAAAGAGCTGTTGAGTGAGAATCTCAGAACGGGATTTTTTGTCACCAATCGCACAATCCTTGGCCTTTTCCAAATGAAATAATAAACATGACCCTTTTCCCGTGAAACGAAAGCCCGCACTGTACTTTTGCTTTCCTCTTTCCTCCTAAAACGCGTTTTCTTGCTCCCTCACAACTCCCTTCTGACTGGATCGCCTTTCACTGCCTTTCCCCACTCCCCACTCTGCATCCTTTCTTTTCTTTCCTTTCTTTGTTTTTCTTCCCGGTGTTGGGAATTGATCCCAGAGGCGCGCACCCCTAGCCCTTCATATTTTTGAGACAGGGTCTCCCTGAGTTGCCCAGGCCRGCCTGGAACTTGCGATCCTCCTACCTCAGCTTCCGGAATTGCTTTTATCTTTCCTGATTCCTCAAGCCTTCCTCTCTTTATATTTCTATCAAAATACAAGCCCAGAGTTCCAGTTTAGGACTACACTTTTCCCTCCCTGACATCCCATCAAAATTGCACCACAGTCTCCCTACTTCTCTTCCTTCCCCCCTTTTTCGTGTGATTTTTTTTCTCCTTAGCACTTGTCACTACCAAGCACATTGAAGTTTGTTTACTTATGTCTTTTATTGCCTTACTTGTCCCCCAAAATGCAAGATCTATGTAGATGTGGACTTTGTTTCCGTATGGTATTTCCAGTACCTAGAAAAGTGCCTGACACACAGTAAATATGTTTTGAATAATTGAAATCTAGAGGTGACCTTTCTCCTCTGATGCAGATCAATTAAATTCATCTCTGACCACCATGGATCCCTAGTACTGGCTCTGTTTTTTAATTTAAAAAAATTTTTTTTCAGTATATTCTGTACCTGATCAGTCATGTGGATGTGGGAGAAATCGCTGATTCAATACCAATTCCTAACCTCAACATTTTCTGGGTCTGGTGGTGTGTGAGAAGTAAACTTAATTTTGCAGTAAATGCAATTGCAAATTGCAGAGCAGGTAAATAACTGTCACAGCAGGGACTGGAATCTGGCCTTCAGACTCTTTGCCACTACTAGCCATCACTTCTTAAAGGCACCCCTTTCTTTTCTCCCCTCCCCTCTTGCCAATCCTATTTATAAGGAAGAAGAGACATTTGCCAGTCATCTTTTCCATTTTAAAAGGGGAAAACAAAGCGCAATTATACTGGACAAACACTGACATGTGTCCCTAGTTTCCCTAGTACAATATCCATTTTATTCTTTTTTTTTTTCCCTTACTTTTTTTCTTTGACCTGATTCATTACATTCAGGTGATTACACCAAGTCTTAGATCTCTCTTCTTTTCTGATGTTTGAACCCCACAGAGAGTAGCAAGGTGTCCTACAAAGCATCATGGTGTGAAATACTGATGTCCTTGGAAGCTTGACTCTCAGAGAATGTCACACTGGATTATAGTCAGATTGTGCATATAATACACAGACACTCTGGGCACATAAAATATTAGAGAATTGTGAATAATAAGGTGAAACTGAAAACAATTATGGTTAAAACAGCTGGAATGTGATCAATATATATATGCAGACTAATTTTGTGCCTAGAGATTAAAACACCCACCCCCTTCAGGCTTCCTAGCTCAATCTTCTGTCAATTTGGGGTTCTTTCCTCAATACAACAATTCTTTCTTGCTTTTACAAGCACAGACTTAGCTCAGCAGTCCCAGCTTTTCTCAAGCTTATCGGCATGTGAGATTTCAACACTTGTGTCAGCAGCCAGACTAAACATGGAAGAAAATCGCTGAACCATTTGAAACTGGAAAGCTCAACAACTAGACTCTCCTCCTGAGGAAATTTACCAGCTTATATCATTATATCTTCTACTTCATGGTTAAAAGGCAAATATCATCACAGTACTCAGGATCGAAACAGTGCTATCCAAAGATTGTTACAACATTGTCAGACCCTGTAATGAGCACATAGGTATTACTTGGCTGTGGATGTTGCTAACTGCTGAGCTGAATGTCAACTGTGGTCTTCAGCAACACATGCATTTACAAAGAACATTAAGACATGGAACTTGGGCTGCGGTTATGGCTCAGTGGTAGAGCGCTCACCTAGCACTGGGTTCAATCCTCAGCACCACATAAGAAGAAATAAATTAAATAAAGGTATGTGTCCATCTACAACTAAAAAAATTTTTAAAAGACATGGAACTTCCCTTGAACCAGACTCCAAGTATCAAAACAATCTAATTTACAACTTGAGTGAATAATCATATTACTTTGGGTTTTCCCAAAAGCAGATCCTGAGACAGATAATCAAGTACAAATAGTTTATTTCAGAGGTAAGTGCAGGAAATAACCAATAAGAGAGTAGCAAAGGAAAATAGGCCAAAAAAAAAAAGGCCAATCCAGTTTATACTAGCAGGAACAATTATAGCTTAATAATTCTAGGGAATTCTGGGAAGCAATATGGAACACATACATGTCTTATTCTGGAAATGAGTTATCTCACCAAGGAGAAAAGACAAGTTAGTTGTTTAAACATAAATTCCCAATCAGTCAATGAGGGCTATTTTCAGGGACTATTAAATTCCTGAGTTGTCTGCCATGAATAAGTAGGTGAAGATACCACAGTGGCCAAACATAGGCAGAATTAGAATTACTGCCATTGGAAATCAGGCTGGCATGCACTTAAATGGTAAGAAAAGGGTATTGACAGGCACCACTATCTACTACAGATGGCTTTGATTCACCACAAGCTCACATCACTGATAATCCAAAAATTAAGTAGATATATACAAAAATAAAGAACCAGAGATGGCTACCACCTTGTATCATCATCATGTGTGAGATCATATTTRTAAATCTTCATTAAGACGTATAAACAGGGCTGGGGTTGTGGCTTGGTGGTAGAGCATTTGCCTAGCATGTGTGAGGCACTGGGTTTGATTCTCAGCACCACATATAAACAAATAAATGAATAAAAAATAAAGGTTCATCGACAACAACAACAAAATTTTAAAAAGACATACAAAAACAAAAGCCACATTTGTGCGGAGAAATAGGAACTCTTTGAGGACAGGAGGAGGCATTGGGGGACTGGGGTGAGATAGGGCAGGGAGGAGGAAGGTCAAGAAAAGAGGGGCGTGGTGCAGTGGTGCACACCTGTAATCCCAACAGCTGCRGAGGCTGAGACAGGAGGATCTCGGGTTCAAGGCCAGACTCAGCAATGGTGAGGCACTAAGCAACTCAGTGAGACCCTGTCTCTAAATAAAATACAAAATAGGTCTGGGGAGGTAGTTTAGTGGTCGTGCTACTAAGTTCAATCCYCAGTACCCATCCACTGCCCCCCCCCMAAAAAAAAAGAAAGAAAAGAGGAAAGGGGAATTTAAAAAAATATATTTATKTTTTTAGAAGTAGTTGGACAACATACCTTTATTTTGTTTATTTATTTTTATGTGGTGCTGAGGTTCGAACCCAAGGCCTCACACATGCTAACCAAGCGCTCTATTGCTGAGCCACAATCCCAGCCCCAGAAAGAGGAATTTAAGGAAACTATTGTTGAAGACAATGTGTTTTTTATTTATTTCATGATCTTGCAGAAGCACAAGTAAAGGGCTCAAATATTTTGAGAAAGTAGTACAAAGATATAGTCAGTCTTTGGGCCTAAAAGACAATTTTGTGAAAGACCTTTTCTGTAGCACCACAAGTAAATAGCATTACTTGAAATTATAGTCACTATATAGTTGTCTTTTTGTTTATCATCTGACTCCTCCAAATAAAATGTAAGCTTCATGAAGGCAAGAACTTTGTTTTTATCTTATTCAATAATAATCACTTATCTGGGTACAGTGGTGCATGCCTGCAATCCCAGAGATTTACGCAGAAGGCCCTGCTGGGCAACTTAGACAGACTGTCTTAAAATAAAAAATAAAATGCCTTATAGTTATAGCTTAGTGGTAACAAACCCCTGGGTTCAATCCCCAGGACTTCAAAAAATAAAATAAAATAAAAATAAGCACTTAATAAATATACTTCAATGAATGCCTATATTATGGCCACAGACAAAACAGAAGAGTCTGGCATTTGGGCTCTTGTAACATTTCTATTTTAATATTTATTTCTTAGTTTTAGGAGGACATGATATCTYTATTTTATTTTTTTGTGRTGCTGAGAATTGAACCCAATACCCCATGTGTGTTAGGCAAGCGCTCTACCACTTGAGCCACAATCCCAGCCCTCTTGTAACATTTAACTAAGTCATAAAGAGGCACRGTAACCTTGCAATAACCTGCCATTATCCCAAAGCACAGGACGATCCTTATTTGTGGAAAGCCTGGTGGTCACATACTGCTCAACTTTAGTGAAACAACCCCAACAGCATCCTCTTCAAACCCTCAGGACCCACCAGGAAATCTTTACTATGGAAACAATTTCAAAACAAGAAAGGCCTTAACAATCAAAGAGTTCAACCCTCTGCATAATTCATCTTAGCCATATGTTACAGGTCATACACTAGACTTTCAGTCAAGAATCTTGGGGGGATTTATTTGGGAAAACATCATATCTAATATGAAAATGCTATATTGGAAAAAGGAAAAGCAATACATTGTTTTTACAACACAAAGTATAGAAAGGTTGGGAAACTCAGCTGTTTCCACATTGCTCCAGTCGCCATCCCAGA